AACTCCGTCTCTACTAAAAATATAAAAAATTACCTGGGCGTGGTGGCGGGCGCCTGTAGTCCCAGCTACTCGGGAGGCTGAGGCAGGAGCAGAGATGCCTATCTGTTCTCAGGATTTTAAGGTGTTGCATGGAAATAAGAAAACCGTACAGTGTTTCTCACTACAAGACGGGGTCAGGAGATACAAACAAAATGATGTGGGGGTTCCAAGTGAGGTGGAATTCCAGACAGCGGCCGGGAAGACTTCATGGAAAGGGGGAATCCGAGTGGGTTTTCTAGGATGGGTAAAGTTCATTAGAGGAAGAGAAGTGCCATAGAGGAAGTTCGGTGAGAAGGAGAAGGAAGACATTCAGATCATGAAGGAAACACTGATAAGGCATGGAGATAGAAAAAAATAAGGCCTGATTTTTTAACCTACCACTTTTTAAGAACCTTTAAAAAGAGATTTTTAAAACGAATACTTGGCGCTGACAAAGGGGAAATGACTGGGCGTGGTGGCTCACACCTGTAATCTTGGCACCTTGGGAGGCCAAGAGGGGAGATCACCTGAGGTCAGGAGTTTGAGACCAGCCTGGCCAACATGGTGAAACTCCATCTCTACTAAAAATACAAAAATCAGACGAGTGTGATGGCGGGTGCCTGAAATCCCAACTACTCAGGAGGCTGAGGCAGGAGAATTGCTTGAACTCAAGAGGCAGAGGTTGCTGTGAGCTGAGATTGTGCCACTGCACTCCAGCCTGGATGACAGGACGAGACTGTCTCAAAAAAAGAAAAAAAAGAAAGAAAGAAAAGAAAAAAATTCATACTGTAAACTGGTACAGCCTTTCTTTCTGGAGAGCAATTTGGGGCATATGCACCAGTAGCCTTAGAAGGCTCATTCTTTTGACTTAATTATCCTGTTAGTGGTGAGATGATTAAAGATGCGGCCAAAATTTATGTGAAAGGTATGCATCACATCTTCACTCAGTCAGGAGAATTGGGGAAAACCTAACCGTTAATAGTTTATCCAAAATTCATATATATATAATATATATGTGTATATATGTGTATATATATGTATTATATATGTGTGTACATATACGTATTCTACATGTGTATATATGTATTATATGTGTGTATTATATATTATATGTATATATACATATTATATGTGTATATATGTATATTATATGTGTGTGTGTATATATATACACACGTGTGTGTGTGTGTGTGTGTGTGTATATATTCCAAATTTTCTACACTGAGATTAGATTAGGGATTTTGACAGTCCCACTCTGTTACCCAGGCTGGAGTGCAATGGCACAGTCATAGTTCATTATAACCTAGAACTCCTCGGTTCAAGCAATCCTCCTGCCTCAGCCTCCCAAGCAGCTGGGACTGCAGGTGCACACCATCACACTCAGCCAATTTTTAAAATTTTTTTGTGGAGATGGAGGTCTTGCTGTGTTTCCCAAGCTCATCTTGAACTCCTGGCCTTAAGCAATCTTCCTGCCTCAGTTTCCCAAAGCACCGGAACTGTGGGCAGAAGCCACTGTACCCAGCCAGTGTTTTTTTTTTTTTAATTTAATTAAACTTTAAAAAAGAAAATGCAGGGAATTGAGTAGTCCAGTTTGGTTGAGCACAAGTTATATTGAGGCAGTCATGGAAAATAAAACAGGAAGAGAGCATGGGGAGCATGGAGTGGAAGGCTGGGACTTGGTAACTGGACAGATACAGAAAAGAAAGTCTAAGCACCCCAGCGAAGCTTAAGTGTACATAGGGAAGTTCAGGTATTCTTAAAAGGTGCACAGAGAGAATTTTTGTTTTTTTTGAGACAGGGTCTCACTTTGTTGCCCAGGTTGGATGGCAGCGGTGCAGTCACGGCTCACTGCCGCCTCAACCTCCTAAGCTCAAGCAATCCACTCACCTCAGCCTCCCATGAAGCTGAGACCACAGGCATGCGCCAGCACACCCGGCTAATTTTTAGTGTTTTTTTTTGAGACAGGGTTCCACTATGTTGCACTGGCTGATTTCGAACTATTGGGCTCAAGTGATCCTCCTGCCTCAGCCTTCCAAATTGCTGGGATTACAGGTGTGAGCCACTGTGACTGGCCAGGGAGAAATTTTTTTTTCCCAGGGTGCTTTTTACTTTTTCTTTTTTAATTTCCATAGTTTATTGAGGAATAGGTGGTATTTGGTTACATGAGTAAGTTCTTTAGTGGTGATTTATGAGATTTTGGTGCACCCATAACCCGAGCAGTATAGGCTGCACCCGATTTGTATATTTTATCCTTCACCCCCTTCCTACCTTTTCCCCCTGAGTCCCCAAAGTCCATTGTATCATTCTTATGCCTTTGCGTCCTCATAGCTTCACTTCCACTTATGAGTGAGAACATACGATGTTTGGTTTTCCATTCCTGAGTTACTTCACTTAAAACAATAGTCTTACCGGGCACGGTGGCTCACGCCTGTAATCCCAGCACTTTGGGAGTCTGAGGCGGGCAGATCACAAGGTTGGGAGATCAAGACCGTCCTGGCTAACACGGTGAAACCCTGTCTCTACTAAAAATACAAAAAATTAGCCAGGCATGATGGCGGGTGCCTGTAGTCCCAGCTACTCGGGAGGCTGAGGTAGGAGAATGGCGTGAACCCGGGAGGCAGAGCTTGCAGTGAGCCGAGTTCGCGCCACTGCACTCCAGCCTGGGTGACAGAAGGAGACTCCATCTCAAAAAAAAAGAATAATAGTCTCGAATTCCATCCAGGTTACTGCAAATGCCATTAATTAATTCCTTTTTATGGATAAATAGTATTTCATCATATATATATAAAATCAATGAGTGGATAAAGAAAATGTGATATATATATCACATTTATCACATATATCATATATATATATCACATTTTCTTTATCCACTCATTGATTTTCATGTAGTTCTAATCGTAGAATTCATACATTTTTTTCTATCTTGCATTTTTCCCATAACATCACAAACATTTTCTAGGTTGCCATATTGTCTTCATAGTTACTTAAATAATATTCCATCAAGTAGTACAATCATTTATTTCACGAGTCCCCTAACTTTAGACATTTTGGTTGTTTTTGAAACTCAATAATGTAAATAACACGGTGATAACAATGTTTCTGTAAATGCGTATTTTGGATTATCTCCTTAGGATGGATTCCCAGGAGTTACATTAATAGGTCAAAGAGTATGAGCATATTTTCATGGCTCTTGTTTTATTGCCTTTGAATTTCCACTGGCCTCAAGATTGCTGGTTTGCTCCCTTATGATCACCAGAGTTACTCCCTCTGTCCAAATTCTTTACCTTCCCAAACTGGGAAGGCCATGACTCAACGTCATATATATAGTAAAGGCTATTATAACCTTCCCCAGAATTTTCCAAGCCAGTGGCCTTTCCAAGCAAAGGCCATTTTCCAAGCAAAGTGGCCTTTGGCTATTAAAATCTGAATTCAGAGGGCTCGTGAGACTCCGTGTTGTTGTAGAATTTAAGCTGCTTAATTTGCCATGTTGTTTAGACACCACTTAATACTTTATTACAAATGACTTGTCCACATCTCTCACCTACAAACTTTGTCCTCCTACTAACATGCCTCCTGCTCGTCAAATGAGGCTGCAGTTGAGTCTTCAAGATTCAGTGGGAAGGCGGCTCTTCCTCTGGTGTGGGCGCATGCTCTTCATGCTGAAGCTCAGCTGAAAAGCCTCCTGCTGGGTTTTCGCCTCTTTCCCTCCCACCGCACACACCCCAGGGTGTTGGCGCCACTTCAGAGGGAGCCTATGGGTGAAGAAAGCACAGGTAAAGGCAGAGGGCTGATAAGGGGGCCGTAAATTTAAAAAGTAAGATTTCTGGCACTATCAACTATCGCTTGTTTTCAAATATGCATATGGAGTGGATATTCCAGTTTTCATGTCTGCGTTGTTTTTGTTTTTTTTTTTTTAAAAGATCTTTCAAAGAAGTGTGCAGTTTTGTACACGCCGACATGGTGTGTTTGGTGTTAAACTGTCAGGGCTGACTGGTCACTTGGAAGGGGCAAGGGCTGAGGTGCATGCAGGTGTGGGCTGGTTACTCACGGGCACTGCAGACCTTTGTGCCTCGGGAGAGTTCTGTTTGCTGGAGCCCTTATTCTGGCCAGCAGTGTCACAGATGCACACTGTAAGACATAGACAGTCTTGGAAAGAAAGGCTTTAAAAATTCCTACTCCTTCCAGCAAAGCAACCCATCTTTGGCTATGAAGAATAACACAGCCAAGTGCAGTGGCTCATACCTGTAATCCCAGCACTTTGGGAGGTCAAGCTGGGCAGATCACTTGAGCCTAGGAGTTCAAGATCAGCCTGGGAAACATGGTGAAACCCCATCTCTACCAAAAAAATAGCCAGGTTTGGTGGTACGTGCCTATAGTCCCAGGTACTCGGGAGGCTGAGGTGGGAGGATCACCTGAGCCTGGAAGGTGGAGGTTGCAGTGAGCCAAGATCATGCCACTGCACTGCAGCCTGAGCAACAGGGTGACACCCTGTATCAAAAAAAAAAAAGAAAAGAAAAGAAAAAAAGAGTAACACATTATTAGAAATGAGCATTCTTAGGCCAGGCACAGCGGCTCACACCTGTAATCCCAGCACTTTGGGAGGCCGAGGCGGGTAGATCACGAAGTCAGGAGATCGAGACCATCCTGGCTAACATGGTGAAACCCCATCTTTACTAAAAATACAAAAAATTAGCCGAGCGCTGTGGCAGCGCCTGTAGTCCCAGCTACTCAGGAAGCTGAGGCAGGAGAATGGCATGAACCCGGGAGGCGGAGCTTGCAGTGAGCTGAGATCACGCCACTGCACTCCAGCCTGGGCAACAGAGCGAGACTCCATCTCAAAAAAAAAAAGAAATGAGAATTCTGAAATAGTCTTCCATATGATGCTTTTGACAATTCAGCAGGAACATAAAGGATGTAAGAAATGAATGCATATGTTAGGCCTCTTGTTGACCTGTGGACTAAATTGTTTCTCCCTGCAGAGATCAGCAAGGACAACTCCTGCAAAGAAAACTGTACTTGTTCCTCCTGCTTGCTCCGGGCCCCCACCATCAGTGACTTGCTCAATGATCAGGACTTACTAGATGTGATCAGGATAAAGCTGGATCCGTGTCACCCAACGGTGAAAAACTGGAGGAATTTTGCAAGCAAATGGGGGATGTCCTATGATGAATTGTGCTTCCTGGAGCAGAGGCCACAGAGCCCCACCTTGGAGTTCCTGCTGCGGAACAGTCAGAGGACGGTGGGCCAGCTGATGGAGCTCTGCAGGCTCTACCACAGGGCCGACGTGGAGAAGGTTCTGCGCAGGTGGGTGGACGAGGAGTGGCCCAAGCGGGAGCGTGGAGACCCCTCCAGGCACTTCTAGAGCTCTTCTTCTTCCTTCATTGGCCTCTCCGGACGTTGAAACAACCACAGGTGAAGAAGGAATGTGAATCTGTTCTTTTGTAGGAATTTAGTATGAGGACGTGGAACGGTGGACACTGGTTTTCCCCAAAGCTGGTAGTTTTGTGGAGGGGTAGCTTGTTTCGGTGGTGGATCTCTGTCTGTTTAGTTTTGCACATCTGTTTTAATTTAATATTCAAATCTGGAATTAGGAAAGCATATTTTCTAGTATCCGCTAAGGGCCAAAGTCCTGCAGTCGGAATGGATTCATGCCATGATGAAAATAAAATTATCCTCTCCCTGAAATACGGCTAAAGATTTAAATAGGTCCTGAGACTGCTGATAGGCCCAGACATACCCACAGCACTATATGTAACATCTCTTCCTGATCAGTGCCATTCCCACGGTTTCAAAGAAAACAGCAATGAGGAACGCTCACCTCAGTGTCTGCAGCACCCTCCACGTCTCTCCTAGGCGATGAGACCCAGTGGCTAGAAATTCACCACGTCTATTCTCAAGATCCATGCCAGGGAGATCTTTGACTCTTGTGGGAATCCCACTATTGAGGTCGATCTCTTGACCTCAAAAAGTCTCTTCAGAGCTGCTGTGCCCAGTGGTGCTTCAACTGGTATCTGTGCGGTCCTAGAACTCCAGGACAATAATAAGACTCACCATATGGGGAAGGGTGTCTCAAAGGCTGTTGAGTACATCAATAAAACTATTGCACCTGCCCTGGTTAGAAAAAAACTGAACGTCACAGAACAAGAGAAGATTGACCAACTGATGATCGAGATGGATGGAACAGAAAATAAATCTCAATTTGTGGGAACGCTATTCTGGGGTTTCCCTCGCCGCCTGCAAAGCTGGCGCTGTTGTGAAGGGGGTTCCCCTGTACCACCGCATTGCCGACTTGCCTGGCAACCCCAAAGTCGTCTTGCCAGTCCTGGTGTTCAATGTCATCAATGGCAGTTCTCATGCTGGCAACAAGCTGGCCAACAAGCTGGCCACCAGTCGGTGTGGCAAACTTCAGGAAGCCATGCCCAGTGGAGCAGAGGTTTACCACAACCTGAAGAATGTCATCAAGGAGAAATAAGGGAAAGATGCCACCAGCGTGGGGGATGGAGGCGCATTTGCTGCCAACATCCTGGAGAATAAAGAAGGCCTGGAGCTGCTGAAGACTGCGATTGGGAAAGCTGGCTACACTGATGAGGTGATCATCGGCATGGACGCAGCGGCCTCCGAGTTCTTCAGGTCTGGGAAGTATGACCTGGAATTCAGGTCTCCCGATGACCCCATAAGGTACATCTCACCTGACCATCTGGCTGATCTGTCCAAGTCCTGCATCAAAAACTACCCAGTGGTGTCTGTCAAAGGTCCCTTTGACCAGGATGACTGGGGAGCTTGGCAGAAGTTCACGGCCAGTGCAGGAATCCAGGTAGTGAGGGATGGTCTCACAGTGACCAGCCCAAAGAGGACGGCCGAGGCGGTGAATGAGAAGGCGTGCAGCTGCCTCCTGCTCAAAGTGAACCAGATTTGCTCCATGACTGAGTCCCTCCGGGCGTGCAAGCTGGCCCAGGCCAGTGGTTGGGGTGTCATGGTGTCTCATCCTTCTGGGGAGACTGAAAATACCTTCATTGCTGACGTGGTGGTGGGGCTGTGCCCTGGCAGCTCAAGACTGGTGCCCCTTGCTGATCTGAGCGCTTGGCCAAGTACAACCAGCTCCTCAGAACTGAAGAGGAGCTTGGCAGCAAGGCTAAGTTTGCTGGCAGGAACTTCAGAAACCCCCCGGCCAACTAAGCTGTGGGCAGGCAAGCCCTTCAGCCACCTGGTGGCTAATTAGACCCCTCCCCTCGTGTCAGCTCGGGCAGCCGAAGGCCCCTGACCAACGTTTGTAGGGGCCGCTGCTAGTGAGCTCCCCTCGCCCACCGCCGTGGAGTTTGCACCGCTTCTTTAGAACTTCTACAGAAGCAGGTTGCAGTGAGCCGAGATCATGCCACTGCACTCCAGTCTGGTGACAGAGCGAGACTCCATCTCAAAAAAAAAAAAAAAAAAAAAA